ATTGTGAGAGAAAATTGGGATTTTATGTCATTTTTGCCAGAATAAATTTCAATTTTTTTTATTCTCGCATTAAAGTGGTTTTGGGTATTTGTTACCTGTTTTTAGATAAACAAATTGGATTTAGCCAAAATATTGTTCTTTCAGATTTCGTAAATGTTTTTCTTGTGTAATCTTTGTTTATTTTATAGATCTTGAATCACTTGATCTAAGCGGCAATAAAATTGAAACCTTGCAAAGCGGTCATTTTCGCTTTCAGACGAGCTTGAAAGAGCTGAAACTGAGGAGGAATAGGATTTCAAGGATTCAACGTGGGGCTTTCGTCGGTCTTGGCAATCTTGAGGTAGTAAATCTTGGAAACAAGCGTAATTTTTTGTCTTACTTTGCATTTTTACAGGGAAGTTGATTTTTAAAAGATATTAAAGAAGTTTTTCTTGTCGTGTTATTCTTACTCAGTTTCGAACTTTTTCTGGCTTCTTTTTCTGTGTATAAACTGGTTTACATCCCCTTTTTGGAATTTTTGGGCAGGAAGGGGAAGAATTTTCTTGAAACCTAAAGTTTAAAATCTTTACTCATTTTTTCTGAAACAACAGCTAATTTTGTGGTTTATTTTTTATATCATCATTTACTGTTTAAATAAAAGCTAAGGCTAGACTGTAAAGATGCTACATTTTGTTAAACTGCTAATTGCTGTTTGTTTGTCAAATTAGGCGTTCTTAATCGAAGAAGATCGGAAACAATATGTGCATTTTTGGTAGATAATTAATGAGAGAGGACAAAAAAATGATGTTAGCTGAAGAAATAAGGTTGTAATTTGACTCCTTTGTGCAAAAAGAAGTAGCATCTGTCCAATAAAATAACAGTCAGTCTGTCTCTCAGATTTAAGGCCTGAAATGTCAATATAGTTTTTTCTAATCTTCAACAGTCTTTGCTCAGGCGTTAATAATTATTGTTTACTCAGAACTCATCAAAATCACTTCTGCTTATTTACTATAGATTTTATTGGCTTTAAGTAAATAGATTTTTTTAACTGAAACTGTTCACAGCACTTAAAATTTGTTGACTTTTCTTTAATCCAAAAATCTGCTACCTATTAAGGTTATCTGAATCAAATACAGATTACAGTAAAAGCTGAATGAAAGCGGTTTTTGCTTAAAGTTACTTTTACGATTTTTGCCGTTGTCTTGCACGAATTTTTCTTTTCTGAATCATAAAATTATTTGTAGTTGGCTAGGGTTTTTTGTTTTTTTCTAGCTCATCGAGAAGCCAAAAAGTTTTTGGATTTTTGGGTTCAGTGATTGTGTTTGTATTCGATAAAAAAACCAATTTGTTGTAGGTGCTAGATCTGTCAGGGAACCGTATAGTGGATATAGAAAACGACGCTTTGCAAGAACTACAGTCTTTGAAGTTGTTGGATCTTGGTGTCAATACGTTGCCTGGTTTTAATACGGACACACTGAATGGACTGATCAATGTGAAGACACTGAATGTCTCAAAAAATCGGTTTCAGTCTTTTGACTTGACCAGTCTCAAGCATGTCCCTCAATTGCAAAATCTTGATCTTAGCCATAATCTGATCTCAGAAGTAGGTTTTCTCTAGTAGTTAAATAAAAATTGTTTTACAACATCTTTTAACGGTGGGTGTCAAAGTAAAATTTGGATGATAAAAATTGATTTGAAATGTTTCTGCAAATTTTTTAATTGTTAATCTTCGTGATTTAATTGCTTCTATTTCGTTTATAAAATGTTTGCTTTGACTTTGGATAGACAAATTTGATACAGTTTTTTGATAGACGAGATTACGTCATACGGATATTAAGATTGACAAGATGCCGCTATTACAGATAAAAATCAGCGGAATGTCACAGATACAGCATAACTCGTTGTTGCGTCTTAACCTTAGCTCGAATCTACTTTCTACGATAGATGATTCTACTTTTGCTTCTGTTACACAACTGAGACAGCTAAGTTTGGACAATAATATGGTCAGTATTAAATTTTTTGTAACTTTGCTTATTGTCCTGTTTGTTTAAGCTATGTGCTCTGCCTGACAGCGTTTTGTTTACAAATTGGAATGTACGCGATGCATATGCTCTAAGTGATTGAATTTTTAGATTCGTAGCGTTGCAGCACTCGGACTTCGTCAGTTATTCACCTTGGAAGAATTGGATTTGTCATGGAATTCTATAGAGTCAATTGGCACTTCTTCTTTCGATGGCCTTGGAAATTTAAAGAAACTTTGTCTTAGCCATCTACACGATCTCCGCTCAATAGAGGTTGCTTATTTGAGCATATTTAGATTTGACGTTAATTATAATCTGAAATAAGGCTCTAATTAAGTTTCATTTAGTTGAACGCTTTCTCGGGTTTAAATTCTCTTCAAGTAGTTGACCTATCGTCTTGCTATTCTCTCAGATCAATTGATGATAGCGCTTTCGAAACCAGCGACAAATTGGAATATCTTGACCTTAGTTTTTGCAACCTTCAGCATCTTCATAGCCAACTAATAAACTGGTTTAGGTAATTTTTCGCACGGCTAACTTTGCTTTTTTTATTTCTGAAATCGATTTTTGAGTTACTGCAGATATTCTATAATCATTGCTTTCTTGAATGTCGTTAAATTTCAGACTAAAAACGTTGCGGCTAAACGGAAATCCTCTTCACTGTGACAACGACTTGTTAAATTACCTTCCAGCGGTTTTGCGACATTTTCACATAAATATTCCTTGCGCTTCACCTGTTGAGTTGAGCCATCAGAATATTGCACATCTGGTTAGCGGTTTTTGTTGACAATGTTTGAAGATAAGCTTTTATGATCTGTACGTGTTTGCAAAATTTTTGTATTTCCGTCGTTTGCAACAACTTTGGAATTTGTTCGATTTTTTAAGTCTAAAGACTGATGACGTTAGTCAGACAAAGTGTATTTTGTTTTTTTAGAAACCGCAAAAAATATCAGATAGTCGCATCGGTCTGCTTCTTGGGATTGTTGGCCTCTTGACGTTTCTGACAGTTGTAGCAGTAACCGCCTATTGTTTATACGAAAAAAAGATTAAGTCGCGCCAAAAACTTGCAATTCCGACTTACACGCCATCCTCACTTATTAACTCAACAACATATGACAAAGGCGAGCTACTGGCAAAACAAATATTTTATTCTCCGAGCGAATTTAGTGCTTGCACTGTATCCACATCAGACGAGGGCGAACATTACAGTAGTCCGATATATCCAACAGAATCGGAGCAAATCTATGAAACACCTCATCCACCTAGTCAGTTATTAGGGAGTAACCTCCCAAAAATGGCTCTGGTTGACGGCGTAGAACCAGTTTTAGCTCTTAATGGTTTTTGTAGAGTTCTACCGTATTCCTGTGTAACAGCTGAACGATAACATTGCATAGTCTGTATATATTTTCGTGAATCGGGTATTTTTTCATTTATCCAAGATTTGTTCGAAGCAAATGTTTTGTAGTCCTATACGTGATCTCAGAGCTTGTAGTGATCAACTATCTGAAATTTAAACAAAAGATGTTTTTAGCATTTTTAGCCTTTAGTTTGCTTCGAACATTTTTATTTATTTAAATAAAAGCTGTAAATGTAAACCTTGAATGTCTGTGATCAAATTAGAGATTGTTTTTTCACTTTTTTATATTAAATATGAAGAATATATGGTGTATTAGTTGTGTGAGTCAAAATGAAATAAACAATGAGGCTTGAAAAATGTTGTTGAGTGGTGTGCCGATGATTTTGCTTGATCGAAGACAGGAAGAATTCTCTTCGGATTGCACGATGGTTGGGACGTTCAAGTTGCAATCAATCTTTTGTTTGCATGATAATGAACTTCGCATTAGATGGCGATTTGAGGTCTGTGAAAGAGGGATTAAGTATTGTTCCAATTGTCTTCGGCAGCTTTGGCATGCCATCTTCAAGTTGTTTGTAACAAAATTCTCGTGAGATTGAGTGGCTTCTTATTTTTCTGCAAATTGCTTTTTTTGGGATGCTGCTGCATTGGAACTACAAATACGTTTTATGGTCCTTTATGTTGCATTTGAACTCGGTATGTCATCCGATAAAAGCTGCTATGACTGATGACACAGTTTTTTGTTGAAACATTCAGGAACAGATGAAAAGTGTCAGGGTTTAAAGTTATAGCAAGAACATTTGT